CGTACCTGCAGATGTAATGACGTGATTAATAACTCACGTAAGATAAATCATAAATATAACATCCAGAAATGGTCCAATAAATGTTCCGAGACTAAATTAAAGTTGGTTCATTAGAGAAAGGTAAAAAAATAATGAAGCATAATGGATGTTTACCTCGTCAGAAGTGTTATAGTGTCGAGTCTTATTTTCAAGTATATCTCTTTGATGTTTTAAGAGGTGAGTGGCCTTTGAGAGTAGTTCAGAAGATAAGTTATTACGACTAACTTGTGATGTTTGTGAGTGTTTTCTGTAGATGTTTATAATAATTGTTGAGCAATAACTATAACAAAAACATCATCACCACTAACACCACCATCATCACTAACACCACCATCACCACCATCACCATCACCAACACCAACACCATCACCACCATCACCAACACCACCACCATCACCAACACCACCACCATCACCAACACCACCATCACCAACACCACCACCATCACCAACACCAACACCACCACCATCACCAACATCACCAACACCAACACCACCACCATCACCAACACCAGTCAACAATTATTTTATTTCTATATTCCAGAATTTAACACATGTTCCTCCATGAAATAAAAAAAAAAAAGAATATCAACTTTCATTTCACGTTGTAATTACCATTAGGCAGAGTGAAAAAAATTCATTCCTGCAATTAGATGAAAAGTAAAGGTCATTCTTATTACAATTGATTACGACGGCCGGGGTGTCTATACGACTTACGGAGAGAGAAGGGGATGGTGGGAGGATGAAAGGGAGAGATGGAGAGAGGAGGAGGAGGAGGAGGAGAAGAAGGAGGAAATTATCGCGCTGGACAAAATAACAAATGTTGGAAAAACTGGGAAAAGTTGCAATAGGAAATTTAAACAGAGGAGTTAAAGGAACATACGTGTGTGTGTGTGTGTGTGTGTGTGTGTGTGTGTGTGTGTGTGTGTGTGTGTGTGTGTGTGTGTGTGTGTGTGTGTGAAAATAATGAACAGCAGTACGACATTCAAGCATAAATAATGTTACTATATTCCAGAAGCTGAGACCCGACAGTGTCTCCCGGAGACGTTGTCTCTCTTCTCTCTCTCTCTCTCTCTCATACACACACACTATCTCTCTCTCTTTGTCTTTTACCTGCCGCGGTTTATAGTGATAAAACTGGTTACACAACACTATCTCCTTCTCCCCCTCTCTCTCTCATTATTTACCATTCATGCATATATTGGGAGTGAGTCCACCGATCCTATTTTGCACGTTATATGGAAATAGGATCACCTGATGGGTATTTAATTTCCACCAAATTGATCCACTTAAGAAACTCACTCTGAAAGAAAAGTAATTTAAAGAAGGCAGCTTACTGTCAGTGAGACTCATCAGCCAGACGTCTGCTCCTGCTCCTGGGGTCTCTTATCTCGACAGCTCTTCCTCCTTCAAGTGCATTTACAGCTGTCATGATTCTTGCCTCTCGCATTTTTCCACTGGATCAGAAGCTCTATCGATGTTCATTTAATTAATTATTACGGTTAGATAATCTTTAAAGTTTCTCGGTAACTGAATCCATTTTTGCACCATCTTTCCAGTGAGCCAGGACCCGTCAAGATGCTCATTTGTTTATGATAATTAACATTGTTACATTCCCAGAGCACCAGCATTCCTGTCAATGTCCCCTTGATGATCAGTAACCGTGGACATATTCATCGATAACTTCATATTGTCAACATTTTCCGGTACAAGGTCTCTGATAATGTTGATTTGTTTAATGATCAGATATCGTCCTTGTTATCATCGTCTAAAGGTTCCGACAACACTCCCCACTGAGCCAAGGTGCTGTAATATCGTGTGTCTGTGTTAATATCAAATCGTCTCTCATTTGTTTCTTGGACGATGTGTTTCTCTTTCTGTGTTCACAAAGGCTTCTTGATAATTATGTTATCTATCTAGTGTGTACCTGATGCTATCACCGCCAGACACACACCCACTACCTCTCAGACATCCACCACCTCCCACACACCCACCACCCACCACACCCACACACCCACCACCCACACACCCCACACCACCACCCCACACATCCACACCACCCACACACCCACCACCCACACACCCACCACCTCCACACACCCACCACCTCCCACACACCACCTCACACCACACCCCACCACCTCCCACATCCACCACCCCACACACCCACCACCCCCACACCTCCCACACACCCACCACCTCCCACACACCCACCACCTCCAACACACACCCACCACCCCACACACACCCATCACCACCACCACACATCCACCCCACCACCTCCCCACACACCCCTACCTCCACCACCACACCCCCACACACCCACCACCTCACACACACCCACCACCCCACACACACCACCACCTCACACACACCCCCTCCCCCACACTCCCCACACACCCACCACCTCCCCACACACCCACCACCTCCCACCACCTCCCACACACCCACCACCTCACACACCACCTCCCCACACCCACCACCTCCCCACCACTCCCCACACACACACCACCCCACACACCCACCACACCTCCCCACACACCCACACACCCCACACACCCACACACACCACCTCCCACACTCACCTACCCTCCCACACTCACCCACACACCCACCACCTCCCACACACCCACCACCACACACCCCACCACCTCCCACACACACCCACCACCTCCCACACCACCACACCCACCACCTCCCACACACCCACCCAGGTAATATAGGCCACACACACACCTGTCCTTTCCTCTACCTAGCCGTCAGTACAGTAGCTCCCGTCCTCCCAGGTGAAGCTTCTCCTCTATAATTTACTTCACCTAACCGGCGACCTTTACGGTTGTCCCCACAGCGTCACACGAGGGAAAGGGGGGGGGGTGTAGAAGTGGCGTCACATGAAGAGTTGAGGTGGCGGCGTCACACGAAAGGTGGGGAGGAAGCGTCACGAGGGGTGGGAAGAAGGTCACACGAGGGTGGGAAAGCGTCACACGAGGGGTGGGGAAGAAGGTCACACGTCACACGAGGGTGTCACACGAGGTGGGAGAAGGTCACACGAGGGGTGGGGGAGAAGGTCGTCACACGAGGGGTGGGAAGAAGCGTCACACGGGGTCGAGGGAAGCGTCACGAGGGATGAGGAGAGAGGAGTCAGGCAGGAAGGTGGGGAGAGGCATCACACGGGGAGAGGAGGAGGGAAGAGCTTGTTTTGTATTCCTCCCTCCCCCCTCCCTGGTGCCCTAGAGGTGAGGGACGCAGTAATGGGAGGGATGTGGTAGGGTAAATATGGACGTGAGGGAGGGTGTGTAGGGATGTGGAGGTGGCAGTGATGGAGGGTATGTGTGTATGTGTTAAATGTATACATCCATCATAGGGTGGGTGGGTATGTATGTATGTATGTATGTATGTATGTATGTATGTATGTATGTATGACAGAACGTAACATACAAGTGATATGGTTGGTACAGATATAATATATAATAACATGAGGGTGTAGTAGGGATTTCAGTGTGTGTGTGTGTGTGTGTGTGTGTGTGTGTGTGTGTGTGTGTGTGTGTGCACGCATGGTGGCCACAGAAGAAAAGTGCACAGCTACGGTAGTGTAAGTATTGGAAGAGAGAGAGAGAGAGAGAGACGTTCATAGAAGCGCCATGGGAAGAAGAGAGGGCAAAATAATATCTGGCAGAGGAAAAATGTTGTATGCTTACCGTTTGATATTTTAACCTCCTCCCTCGAAGGTAAAGAGAGAGAGAGAGAGAGAGGTAAACACGACTCGGTAAAAGATCTGAGTCACTCGTTGGTCGGTTCAGTATTGCTCAGAGTAAACAAACATTTGGGTTAAGAAAATACGATTCTTCATAAAAATTGTTTAACCCATTGACTACGAGGTTTTAAATCTTGTTGTACGATAGTTTATATCCATGAGTACAAATGGTTTAATCTCTTAAAGTATGATGGTTTAAATCCTTGAGTACGATGATTTAACCCCTTGAGAAGAATGACTTAACCCCTTGAGTACGATGGCCGAAACTCTTGAGTACGGTGACTTAGCCCGTTGAGTACCATGAATTAACCCCTTGAGTATGATGACTTAACCTGTTGAGTACGACGGCCGAAACCCTTGAGTACGATGACTTAATCCGTTGAGTACTACGGAACAAACCCTTGAGTACCACGATTTAAACCCTTGAGTAAGACGACAGATACCTTGATTACGATGAATTAGCCTCTTGAGTACGACGGTCGAAAGCCTTGAGTACTATGACCTACGCTCTTTAATACGATGACCTACGCCCTTGAGTACGATAACCTACGCCCCTGAATACGATGACCTACGCCCTTAAGTATGATGATTTATGCCCCTGAGTATGATGACCTGTGCCCTTGAGTATAAGCTACGCCCTTGAATATGATGACCTACGCCCCTGAGTACGATGACCTACGCCCTAAGTACGATGACCTAGCCTTGTTAATTCCCCCCAAAAATCATACGTGTTTTTTCCACCATTACAAGAACACACAGGCTTCTCTTATCCCGAGTTCCAGAGAAATGATGACCAACGATTCCCTAATAATCCAGGTCCAGCCCTCGTGACCTCTGGTATAGCAGAAGGGGGTCATACTGGTAGTTAAGGTGTGGTCACCACTACTCATTCTGGCCGCCGGGCTCTGAAGATAATGGTGATCTGAGCAGAGGAAGGTATAGAGAAATAATAACAAGAAGGAAGGTCAGCTGTGGTAGATGAGGCATGAAGCACAAAAGTTAGGTCAACTGTGATGTGGCCTTAGATTTGCCTGGTATTGTGGAGGTGGTTTATTATACTATACAGTTAGCTTATACCATGGCACAGTAGAGAGGACCACTGTAGTAGATAAGTAGGACACTTCAGGTTAGAGGTTCTGGTGGTCCTGGCAGCGGGGAAGTGGACTTTGGTGCCGTAGGTGGGTGGGTGTTGGCGGCGCTAGGCTCCATGTTGGCCCCAGTGTTGGCCCGGCTGCCGCTGTGGACGGGTGTGGACGCTACGCCACTACAGCCGCTGCCTCCCTCTCTCGCTCGCCCGCCCCGCCTGGCCCGGCACGCGACACTACCATCACCGTGATCTTGTGGCCCTCAGGAACATAATTACCAAGCTGACCATGAAGACCATGAACCTGGTGAACCGAGTTTCTCTTATCGGATATTATTACTTGATGAAGTATTGTATGATGATTATGTCTTGCTGTGAGAAGTTATTCATATAGAGAATTACAATACCGTCTTGGAACATTAATTTACCAGGTGAACGTTTGAGAGAGTCACCACGGGGACTAATTGTAAGAATCATTCATAAACAAAAAGAGAAAGAAGAAAATACATGGGATCTTTTTTTTTCTTTTAACGATAGACCAAAGTGATGGTAAGTGGAACAACACCTTGACTCTGAATCCTCTTTACGAATGAGAAGAAAAAAAAACGTGTAAAGATACCAAGACAAATTTAGACCAAGAAGCAGGTGTGGTAAACAAACCTGTGAGAACTTCGGGTCATTAACAGGTAAGTAAGCCACTCCTAAAACTAGACGCTGGTCGAATATCAAACAAAGTTACGTCTGAACTTTACTTAAATTCAAATGAAAGATATATAAAGAGACGACAGGAAAGAGAGACACACGAAAAGTTAAAAAGAAAAAGGAAACCCGCGAGATCAGAAATAAGACGCAATGCAATTAAAATAAAATTTAATCTCTTGTCTGGGGGAAAAAGTTTGCCGTAAAAGTCTGGTGAGAGGAGTGACGACCTCCACCACCACTACCTCCACCACCACTACCTCCACTACCACTACCTTCACCACTACTACCTCCACCACCACTACCTCCACCACCAGTACCTCCACCACCACTACCTCCACTACCACCACCTCCACCGCTACCTACCCACCACCTCCACCACCACTACCTCCATCGCTACCACCACCCACCTCACCCTCCTACCACCTCCCACCACCACCACCACCACCTCCTACTACTTTCACCACTAGTACCTCCACCCACCCACTACCTCCACCATCCTACCTACCTCCACCACCACTACCACCACCTCTTTCCTCCCACACCACCTCCCACCACTACTACCTCCCACCACCACTACCTCCCACCACTACCCTCCCACCACCCTTCCCCTCCCACCACCACCACCACCACCTCCCACCACAATGCCTCCACCACCAGTACCTCCCACCACCACTACCTCCCCACCTCCCACCCACTGCTACCTCCACCTACTACCTCCCCACCCCTACCTCCCCACCACCACTACCCCTCCACCACTACCTCTACCACCACTACCTCCCACCACCATGCACTCCACCACCTCCCCCACTACTACCTCCCACCACTACCACCTCCATCACCACTACCTCCTGCTACCACCACCACCACCTCCACCCTACTACCTCCACCACCACTACACCCACCACTACCTCCACCACCTACCCACCACCTCCACCACTACCTCACCACCACCACTACACCTCCCACCACTACCACCTCCCACCACTACATGCCACCACCACACTACCTCCCACCACTACTACCTCCCACCCTACTACCTCCCACACCACTACCTCCCACCTACACCTCCACCACTACTACCTCCCACCTACCTCTTCCACCACCACCACTACTACTATCATCACTACCACCACTACCACCACTAGTACTATCATCACCACCACCACTACCTCCCCCACCACCACAGTAACTACTACTACTACTACCTCCACCACCACTACTGCCCCCACCACTACAACCTCCACCACCACTACCTCCACCACTATATCCATCACCACCACTACCTCCACCACCACTACTACTACCACAACTACCTTCACCACTATCTCTACCTCTACTATACTACCCCTACCTCCAACCATCACCACAACTACCTCCACCACCACTACCTCCACCACCATTACCTCCACCATTACCTCCATCACCATAATCATCACTACCTCCACCACCACTGCTACCACCACCACCACCATTCTCACATGTTGACGATGACTCGGGTACAAATTGGGGAAATGAAAGCTTGCCCCAACACACACACCTTCCCCAACATGGGTGCGCCTCTCCCCACCTCCCGTCTGTATCCCCCCTACTCTCCCCGTCACCCCCCCCCCTCACCCTCTGTGTACACGATAAATACCATCATGTGTACACGGACACGGAAGCTAAACTGTGTCTTGTTTATGGAGGCAGCAACGGACGACACGAACCTAACCTAACCTGACCTTACCTTACCTAACCTAACCCAACCTAACTTAACCAAGGATAATTTAGGATTAGGCTAGGCTAAGTTAAATGAAGTATTAGGTAAGGCTAGGTATTTTTTTTAGGTAAGGTTAGGGTAAGTTAAATATGCTTTGGCTTGGTTAGGTTAGGTTAGGTTAGGTTAGATTTCACTTGCTTCCCAACTAGTCCAGCGAACATGTTACCCAACCCGTCCACACTGTGCAACTCCCAGAAAAGTGAGATTATATATTTTTTTCTTTTTACCGAGAAGCTGAATAGTGTGGTGCTTACAGTGAGCAACAAGAGACCCAAACTTTGATCCTAAACCTGACTCGTTACTGAACTGTTCATTAGAATTTTTAATGTTATCTCGAGAGTTTAAAATCTTGCAGCTCAACACTTAAGACTTTATTTTTTCTGTCTTCTTCTTTTTATTCTTGATTTATTTATTTATCGTTTTCATTATCAGTTCCGTTTTCTGTTATTAGTTCTGTTTGGTTATTCCGTTTTCTGTTATTAGTTCCGTATGGGTTATCAGTTCCGTTTTCTGTTATTAGTTCCGTTTTCTGTTATTAGTTCCGTTTTCTTTTGTTTCTTCCACTTGCTTCTGGGAACGATTTTCCAGAATATAATTAAATGAGATAAAATTGAGTTATCTACTATGAGACTCTATAAGGGGAGGTAATAAGGGGGCGTATCGTAACATGATTGGTCGATTTAAGGGAACGGAATGAATGCTACGATATGATTGGTCGATTTAAAGGGAAAGTATCTGGGTACTGTAACATGATTGGTCTATTTAAGGAAAAAAGTGGATGCTACGATATGATTGGTAGATTTAAAGGGAAAGTATCGGGGTACTGTAACATGATTGGTCTATTCAAGGGAAATGAATGAATACTACGATATGATTGGTCGATTTAAAGGGAACGTATCGGGGTATTGTAGCATGATTGGTCTATTTGAGGGAAAGGAATGGATGCTATATGATTATGATTGGTCGATTTAATTTGGTATTGACTTCTATAACGGGACCATCAATAAATAATTTCGATTCGCTATATTTCGTTTCAGTTCCTTTTGGGTCAATGAAAAAAAAAAAAAAACCTAACCTAACTTAACCATACTGATAAACATAACCTAAATAAGCAAAAAAACAAAAACAAACAAATAAGAAACTGAAGCAACAACTCCTATATATAAATTATCTTACGAATGGGTGATATAATTCGCTATTAATATTTTACACTTCAGTTACGATCTTTCTCCTTGACAAACTTGAATGATCTTTAGACTTTATACATATTGATATATTGTATTTACGTGTAAGCTATCAGTGTGTTTGTGTGTGTGTGTGTGTGTGTGTGTGTGTGTGTGTGATGCAAAGTCGTTTTCATGCAAGTAGTAAAACTCTTAATTTGACTTCCAGTATTTCAGTAAGGGTTATAAGTTGACTTCTAGTATTTTGGTATTTAAGATCGTGATTTGACTTCCAGTATTTTAGTAAAGATTTAGATTTGACTTCCACAATTTACGAAAAATAACTTAATTTGACTTCCATCATTTTTTTCCGTGACGGCCTTGATCAGTGTCTGTTGTGTGTGACGGCCTTGATCAGTGTCTGTTGTGTGTGACGGCCTTGATCAGTGTCTGTTGTGTGTGACGGCCTTGATCAGTGTCTGTTGTGTGTGACGGCCTTGATCAGTGTCTGTTGTGTGTGACGGCCTTGATCAGTGTCTGTTAGTAAAGATGTGATAATCAGTTATACTAAATCCTCAGTGTCCCCAGTGTCAGATCTCCCAATTTTCCCCAGGTATTTGAAGTCAGACCTCCCAATTTTCCCCAGGTATTTGAAGTCAGATCTCCCAATTTTCCCCAGGTATTTGAAGTCAGATCTCCCAATTTTCCCCAGGTATTTGAAGTCAGACCTCCCAATTTTCCCCAGGTATTTGAAGTCAGATCTCCCAATTTTCCCCAGGTATTTGAAGTCAGGCCTCCCAATTTCACCAGTTATGAGGAAATACTACCAAATTATAAATGCGTTTCAATATGACGTATAATTGACACTGCTACTCTCTCTCTCTCTCTCTCTCTCTCTCTCTCTCTCTCTCTCTCTCATCTCCGGATACGTGGTAAAAGTAATTAATGGCGTCTTTAAAATGACATATAGAGTACACATACGGTACAGTAGACTTAATCTAAATGAACTCTTTCATTATGTTTCACTCACTCTCTCTGTCTCACTCACTCTCTCTGTCTCACTCACTCTCTCTCTCCTCCACTCTCTGTCTAACTATCTCACTCTCCCCCTGAACTCTATCTTTCGTTTTTCGCTCTTTCTCTCATATTGTCTTTCGCTCTCTCTCTCTCTCATAATGTCTCTCGCTCTCATTCTCTCATATTGTCTCTCACTCTCTCTCATATTGTGTTTGTCTGTTTGTCTGTCTCTCGTTGTCTGTTTGTCTGCCTGTCTGTCTGTTTTTCACACTCTCTCATTGCCTCTGTCTCTCAAACTCCATCTAAATGTCTGTCTGTCTGTCTGTCTGTCTGTCTCATCTCCAGTTTACGAGTATAGACTATCGTATAATGGTCAAGGGTGAGTATTTCTTCTGTTACGACAACAAACTTACGATGACGGAAATTTCCTGCACATCCCACAAGGTGAGGAGAGAGAGGAGGAGGAGGAAGAAGAGGAGGTGGAGGAGGAGGAGGAAGAAGAAGAAGAGGTGGAGGAGGAGGAGGAAGAAGAAGAGGAGGTGGAGGAGGAGGAGGAGGAAGAACGGGAAGGGGAGAGCAGATGACGAAAAGGGATGGGAGGGAGGAGAAGGAGGAGGAAGAGGAACGGGAAGAGGAGGGAGGGGGAGGAAGAAGATAGAAGGAAGAGGAGGAGGAGGATGAGGAGGAGAGGATGGAGAAAAGGGGGATAAGGAGGAATAGAAAATATAAGAGGAAGGGACAAAAGGAAAATGAGATAGAAGAGGAAGGGATTGGAAGATGAAAAAAAAAAGAAGCGGGTGATGAAATGGAAGAAGGGGAGAAGGAAGAAGGAGGAGGAGGAAGAGGAGAAGATGTCGATTCTCTATCTTCAAGTTAAAAATTGTGACCTTGGGGTTTTAAAGTTCTAGTGTCTAAGTTCTGATATAAAGGTTCTTAGGTCAACACAAGAAGTTCTACATCTCATGCTTTCAGTTTTAGGTACAATTAAAGTTAGTTTTTTTCTTAAATAATTAAGTTCAAAATTCTACGTTCAAAGTATAATTTA